CTGACCATCATGGCCTCCTAACAATCCCCATATCTGCTGATTAGCTTCATCACTCTGTCTCCTCTCCACCAATGGACTGGTGTGTGGTGGGCGTTCTGGCGCACTATGGCTGCCGTTGCATCATCCAGGTGGATGCTGCACACTGGTGGTGGATGAGGAGATACCCCCTGACAATGTAAAGTGCTTTGAGTGCCTAGAAAAGTGCTATATAAATGTAATTAATTATTTGCTGTTCCACAACTCCCACTTCATCATCAGCTTTAGTAAAATAAACTAGCTGTGGGTTTTAGTGACTAACTCATGTTTTCCCCTCCTAATTTTTTTCTCGATTTTTACTTATCGAAGTTTGTTCTCTGCATGACCATTTCTAGATTACACCAGAATGAAGTGAAGAGAGGTGAATGCAGACATTAGGCGCAGTGATCACCTGATAGATAGGCTACGTGCACAGTTTGTTCAAAAGTAAAATATATAATAAATGCATTTGATTGGTAAAACAAATTCAAATGTGACGTTTTAATCTTTAATCGTAATGCATGGAATTTACGGAAAACTCCACTAAATAATAGCGCTAAAAAGTGAGGGGCGTGGTGGGTTTTTTGCGATCGCCGCTACCGATGTCCGTCAATGTACTCCACAGCCAATCACGGGCCCCCTCCTTGCTCGGGCCCGGGGCTTCAGCCCCGCCTAGCCCAATGGTTAATGCGGCCCTGTACGTAGCAACTGAAAATTGTACATTTGTAAACTACATAAACTGTATTCATTAAAACAATTATATATGATTTCTTTATATATTTCTACTTCTGTATTATATTGCATTATTACATTTTCAGTTTTTCTTATGTTAGTGTTATATTTCATCTCTACTGTGTAATTCTTATGAATTTCTGCTCTATCATGTATGTTTGCATGCACTATGTCTGTACTTTCTTCTGCACTGGAAGCTCCTGTTGCCAAGACAAATTCCTTGTGTGTGTAAACGTACTTGGCTTGTACGTACTTGTACTTCTGACTTATGATAATTGATATCTCTATTGCTCATTATCATTATGTCAGTGAATTAGGATGTTGTTTTATTTATTTGATGTCTGAGATTGTATGTACCACACATAGAAGCAAATACATGTTTTAAGATTGGTGTTGCATGGGGCTTGTACTGAAATGGTAAGCGATTGTGTGTGTGTGTGTGTGTGTGTGTGTGTGTCTGTGTCATATGTGTGTGTTCTGTCTGTGTGAATGCGGTAACAGTGCTCTGCTTGGTTTTTGCAGGCAGCTGAGTTGGGAGAATTTACTGCCAAAATTGCCCTGCTGGAGGATGCCAAGAGGAAAAAGGAAGATGAGGCAACAGAATGGCAGCATAAAGTAATATACACATACACATTTTATACATACTTCATATATGTGAAGCAAATTGTCCACATGGTGAAATAATTTTCATGAAATGGTGCTGTTGAAACAATTTCGGGGGATTTCCAATCCAGATCTGACCCCCCGTGTTGGTTCTATTAGGAAAGCCTTGATGAAGACCAACAGATTAAGATTCTTCAAATGTGGTGGGGGAGTTATGTGTACAGGAATATGCAATTTATCATAGATGATGGAAAGAAGCTGTTCTTTAATTTGGATGTTTTTGTGGTTTTGGAATCCAGTGAAACCAATTGAAGAGTTCAGATGCAAAAGCCTCTAAGTGCGTCCGAAATTTTCATCTTAAATTAGCATTTAAGCCATACCTTTTACGAGGCTCCTGTATTTATGTTTAAATATTTCACTTTACTGGCATAGAAAAAGACCTATACATTGCCATTAAATTAAAATTACTGAACCTAAGCATAGGAGCCTGATAAAAATGCTAATTTTAGATGAAAATTTCAGACAGCTCTTAGAGGCTTTTGCATCTGAATTCTTCAATTGCTCTGGATGGGTTGGGTTCTCAGTGCTCTCTTTAGTTTAGTTTAGTTGTGCAAGACTGTCAGTAGGTGTCGCATCCACATTCATGTTTTGAGTTGACTTTTGACTTTTGGGGTCATGACATGACAAATGAAATTTCTTTGATCTTTCAACATGTAAGAGGTCATTGTACAATTAAAACATCCTGCCAGTTTCATAGCTTAAAATGTCCTCATCAGTACAAAAAAAAAAGTAGTTAACCAAGATTTAAAAAAAAAAAATTATTATTTGAATGTTGTGGTATTTGTGATGTCACACAGGTGTAAAGTCCACCCAATTGGCCCAACGAAGGTATCCAATGGTGGCTGAAGGTTTCCTGCATGTTCGGTCTTTTCAGTGCGCAAAGAAATGTAATTTAAGTTAACTTCTTATCTGATTCTATTTTATTATGACCTTGAATTTAGGTTGCCCTGCAAATTGGTTGTTTGTCCATTTTTAATTTTTATTCTGACACTTGATTATTCTAGTTAACCCTTTTCTTTATATTTTACTCGTTCATTAGGAATCTATGTCTCTCAGAGTGTCTCGCATCTGCTGTTTTACGCAGAACTCATGGCCACAAACTCGCCAGTCTGATCATTAGCAATAATGACTAATACTATTTGATAGGCTGCCCCTTACTTGCCATTCTTTAAATAGTAGTTCTGTTTAGCCCCCTACAGTCACCTGTGTACAACTTAGTTAAAGCTCAAACAACAATCAGAGGTTATGCTAGTACTATGAAATGTTAATATTTCAATAGTATTTTAATCTAGCCCCCGATAGTTAAAATAACTATACGTACAACTTAAAGCTCAAACAATAATCAGAGGTTATGCTAGTACTATTTTTCTAGCCCCCAATAGTTCATATAACTATGTACAACTTAAAAAAGCTGAGACCATAAATTAAGCGTTAGCATTAGTTCTGGCAGGTCATGTGAGTCAAGCTTGCATCAGCTGATTCTCAGCTGATCACATCTACCTATAGGAATACGACACCTATCGTGGCATTCCTATATAAGCTCTATTCAGTATTATTCTGCAGCTTTTCAGCTTGCTCAGGAGCAAATTACCCTCCTCCATCCCCAGCTCCTCCTTTCGCCACAGTCAGGACTTGGCTTTCTGATATTCCTTGCTAATCAGACTCCTTTATCTTGAATAAAGTGTTACACTTAAATATCATTAAGTACATTAATGATATCTGCCTTGTTCTGTTCTGTTAACCCTGGGGGGGTATTATTGCTGCTCTCCCTGCTCATTCATGACAGGCTGCATGGATGGGCAGGGAGGTTTTTGCCCAGAACAGAACCATACCGCCAAACCAAACTTTATGCTAAGTATATATCATTTTGACGATAGTGGTCCTGACAGAACCAGCAGTTATTGCTAGTACTATGACTAGTCTCCCATAGTTAATGCAACTGCATACAACTTAAGTCAAGCAGTTAGTCAGAAATCTAGCATCCCACCTGATAAGCCCCATGCTCCATCTAACCTGAGATCTAGTATGTACTTAACCCTGCACACAGATTTGCGGAAACATACACCTTCACTTAATCTACTTGAGAAAATAATTTCAGAGTAAATCAGAATAATATTAAATGTGATAATGTATTATTAGTCAGGTAAAATGTATTATGCCAGTTACATAGTCAATTAGAAGATAATCAATACAAAACATCAAATCTCCTCTCATCTCCATCCTCCATTGACAATAGAGGAGGCACACGTA